AGCTACTTGGGAGGTGGAGGCAGGAGACTCGCTTGAGCCCAGGAGTTGGAGGTTGCTGTGAGCTGTGATGCCATGGCATTCTACCCAGGGTGACATCTTGAGGCTCTGTCTCAAAAAGAAAAAAAATTATGAGAATAAGAAACCAGATACTCATCTATTAAGAAAAAAGGTATAAAAAAAAAAAAGAAAGAAAAAAGGTATGCCTCAGCCCAAATGGCTTATAAGCCTACCTTGGAAATGAACATAAAATGTGAAACGAAGATAGCTCCAGGTATTGCTGACGTTTGCTCCCTGCCACGCCCTAAACCTCACCCGTTCAATAGGTATTTATTGACCATCTCCTACACACCCCATTTCCCCCTAGGTTAAACGGTGATGGCAATAGCAATCTCTGATTATACGAAAGCAGGGCTATGACTGAGCTATATAAAGCAAAGTGCACAAAGCAAAATTTTCAGGGGGAGAGAGGAGTGAATAGGTTTATTTCAAAGTCCAGCCTTGAATTTGCATGCTTTTTGTAGACGCTCACCTCCCCCTCTCCCGGCCCAGTAAAAGCAGTGAAGTCGCTGTCCTTTTTTATAGAGTGAGTTTTGGGTAAGATTTACTGAACAGGGTTTTCAGTAAATTGCGTTTTCAGAATTGCTCTAGGAGGACATCATTCAACATTGCAAGTAAATACTGAGCTCCTACTAGGTGCCAAACATTGAGCTGGGTTCTTTATAAAGCATAAAGATATTCGATTGAATGTTAATTCATTTCCTCGAGCCAAAGATCTGAAATACATAACACTGTTTTTTAGGGTCAGATTAGGACACAAATGCTAAACGGTCTTCCTGCGCCTCCTCCTGGAGAGGAAATGGAAGAGAAAATGAGATTGCGCAAAGAAAAGAGCTTAAGCCAGTGCCTGTGACATGGCAAAGAGACAACGAAAATAAATGCTTTATTAATAGCATTGATAGATGATTAAAATAGCCAACGTATTGAACGTTGGTTGTCAGGCATGGTGCTGATCCCCATGCATGTATTCAGTTTATTTTACACTACCTCCCCCAAATTAGCACTGATTACTCCCCCCTCCCAATTTACAGAAGAGGAAACTGAGGCCCAGAGAAACCCTACTAGATAGTGTAAAAACATGCAGTTTGATGAAGCCAGGAAGGCATTTTATTCACTGTTTTATCCACATTTAATAATGCCTGGTACCTAGTAGATGCTCAGTAAGTACCTGTGGGCTAAAAGTGATTAACCACCATTTAAAAGTATACATAGGATTTCAAGTTATTATCGGTACATAATAGTTGTATAATACCTGCTTTTTTTTTTTGTACGAAAGGTCTTTATTGGTGGGGGGAGGAAGGCTGCAGAGCAGCACCGAGAAGAGAGGTGAGAGAGATAAGGAGAGAGTAGGGAAGAGAAGAGAGAGAGAGAAGAGAAAAGCAAGGGGAAAGACGGGAGAGAGAGAAGGAAGGCAGAAGGAGGCAAGAGAGAATACCTGCTTTTTAAAAAGCTTTTTATGTTGAAATAATAGGCAAGAGGTTGACAAACAATACAGAGAGGTCGTGAGTGTGCCTTCTCTCAGCTTCTGCCACTGGTATCTTCTTACATAACAATGTCCAAAGCAAATTGACTTAGGTTATCATCCACAGACTCTATTCACCTTGCACTGTGCTTTTAATAGCAGTACTTGACATTTTGCAAACTAATACAGTTTTTCTGATTATTATTCTCGCTAAAACAACGCTCTCCGCTTTATGCACCTCAACAGTGCACACCACAGTGCAGGCCCAGGATGGATACGACCACTGCGCCTCGGACGCCGGCCCCTTAACCTATTACAGGCCAGGCCGGCACCCAAAGGGTTAACTAGGAGTCGCACCTTTGTGCGCCTGCGTGCCGCGCCTTGTTGTCCCGCCCCCGCAACGCAGTCATATGACCCGCCCAGCCGGCGTCAGCCTACAAAAGGCTCAGTGTTGACGTCAGCGTTCTCTTCCGCCGTCGTCGCCGCCATCCTCGGCGCGACTCGTCTCGCTTGGTTCTACCTGGGAGAATCCACCGCCATCCGCCACCATGGTGAGTAGCTCTGTTCAGCTGTTGTCTCGGAACTAGGGCGGGCCCTCTGCGGGGCCGGCGCTGCCTACCCTGGGACGCTGGAGCAGACCGGATAAAGAGTATACATGGCGGCGGCTGAGTCGGGGATGGGGAAGCGGCCATGTCGGCGCGCCGCCGTCTTCGCGGAGCCCCTTTCGGATTTCGGGGGCGCCGTTCCTTATGAGAGCACGGGCCCGGCTGGCTCTGGGTGGTGGCGGGAACAGGGGTGGGGTACGATGATGTGGCAGAGGTTGTAATGGCGGGCACCGCTGTAGAAGTGGAGAGCTGGGGTGGCGCCTTATGTAACCCGCACGCCGCGAGTTTGAGTTCGATTTTTTGCCGGGGACCTTGGACAGCGGGGAAATAGCAAAACAGGGGAAGCGACGCAAGTAAAATTTCTCTTTGTGGTCCGAAAGCCTCGTGATAACTGGAGCCTTGGCCTTGGTCTTTACTTTGACTCCCCAGTGGGAAAAGCTGGCGTCTAAGCCATGGGGCATGGATTTTTGACGGTTAGCGTTGTTTTTGAGCTTTGATATCCCGGTAGTTGTGGCTCTTTCTGATTCCCTAGGGAAAGGGATGACCTTGCGTTTTAAAGAAGGTTTTTTTTTTTGGTTGAGAGAAGCCAGGGTGGCCCAACAGCAGGTTGGAGATGGTTTTGGCTTTATTAGTTCCATATTTGACATGTAGAATTTTCTAGTGTTGTTTTTGGTGTTAAAGAAATTGGTCACGTTTGGGGACCGTTCTGTGTCTTTTGGGTTGTGAATTCTGAATGACAGCTGGAATCAGTGGTGCCTTGAGATTGGTGGAGTGCTTTTCAAGGGGCAGGGTTGTGGGCCACCACAGCACCATCCCCTTCCTGGCCTTTGACCTGGCAGTTTTGGTATTGACTGGATGTTTTGTGCCAAGCTGGGTTCCCAGAATTCCAGGCTGATCTGAGCCACCTCATTTCTCTCAGGTGAACTTCACGGTAGACCAGATCCGGGCCATCATGGACAAGAAGGCCAACATCCGTAACATGTCTGTCATTGCCCACGTGGATCATGGCAAGTCCACGCTGACAGACTCCTTGGTGTGCAAGGCAGGCATCATTGCATCGGCCCGGGCTGGGGAAACACGCTTCACTGATACCCGGAAGGATGAGCAGGAGCGTTGCATCACCATCAAGTCAACGTAAGCTCTCTGGTGCCCTGTGGACCTGGGTGGGTGACTGGCTCTCTGGTTTGGCAGCTAGCAGCAATGGGCTAAGTTGGTGGGAGAGACCTGTGGGCACCATCACTTTCCTCCTCGGACCTTCCAGTGAATCTTGGGATGTGTTAGGGCCTGTGTCATGCTGTGGGGGAGAGTGAGGTTCTATCCAGGGTGACAGCTGGGGGAGGCACAAGGGTGAAAGGGCATTGGGAGCTAGGGATTCTTGAAGCGGGGGTTTAACCTATAGTAGTTCTCACTTTTTTTTTTTTTTTGAGACGGAGCCTCAAGCTATCCCCCTGGGTAGAGTGCCATGGCTTCACAGCTCAGAGCAACCTCCAACTCCTGGGCTCAAGCGAGTCTCCTGCCTCCGCCTCCCAAGTAGCTGGGACCACAGGCGCCCGCCACAACGCCTGGCCATTTTTTGGTTGCAGCCATCATTGTTGTTTGGCGGGCCCGGGCTGGGGATTCGAACCCACCACCTTAGGTGTATGTGGCTGGCGCCTTAGCCGCTTGAGCCAGTAGTTCTCACTTTTGGGGGGAGTATATCTGACCCCAAGGGACACTTGGTAACATCAGGAGATAAGTTGCTCCTTGATAGGGAGAGTGTAACTGGTATTTAGGGATGGTGAAAACAACCCGTATTGATGGGACAGTTTCCCGTGGCTGTTTTGGCCCCAAATACGAAAAGGATGAGACTGGAATGGGCAAGCACAGGGCATGGTGACCATCAGTGCAATCTATTACCAGCTATTAACGTTGTAAGGTTCTCTCTGATCAATCTTAGCTGGGGCTAGAAAAGAAGAAAGGGCAAAAGTGGTCTCTGGGGTTTCTTTAGTCTTGCCTAGTCAGTATTTTGAGTCATATGTGACGTATGCAGAGGCATAAGGGGCTCTGAGGAGCTGGTGTGGGAGATTGGTACCTGGAGTCCCCATCCCTGGTAGAAGTAGAGGGTGGGTCAGCTCTTGTGTGGGAAACCTGAGGTCTGACTCTGGGGATGAATAATCAAGAAGGGGAGGGGACAGGGTGGAGAGTGCTGAGTGGTGGCTCTGGCTGTTGGGGCTCCCTTGGGCAGCAACTTAGGGTGGGTAGGATAGCTGATGGCCAAGTGTGGCTATAGTCTTAACCTACCCTTCTCTCCTTAGTGCCATCTCCCTTTTCTATGAGCTTTCTGAAAATGACTTGAACTTCATTAAGCAGAGCAAGGATGGCTCTGGTTTCCTCATCAACCTCATTGACTCTCCTGGGCATGTAGACTTTTCCTCAGAGGTGACAGCTGCCCTCCGAGTCACCGATGGCGCCTTGGTGGTGGTGGACTGTGTTTCAGGTAAGCAGCAGGTCCTCTGCGGCAGGGCCTTGAGGGATCTTGAGCCATCCCCGCCTCTGGATGATAGGTGCCCTTTTTTCTGCCTGTTCGTAGGCGTGTGTGTGCAGACAGAGACAGTGCTGAGGCAGGCCATTGCTGAGCGCATCAAGCCTGTGCTGATGATGAACAAGATGGACCGTGCTCTTCTTGAGCTGCAACTAGAGCCTGAGGAGCTCTACCAGACCTTCCAGCGTATCGTGGAGAACGTGAACGTCATCATCTCCACCTATGGGGAGGGCGAGAGTGGCCCCATGGGCAACATCATGGTATGTGTCCCTGCCTATTCCCCAGCAAGTTGAAGGGCTTTCTGCCTGGTCCAGGAGATGTCCTGGGGGATTCTGAAGAATGTTCACCCCAGGAAACAGGTTGGGAGAGAAGAAAAAGGCTAGAATGTTTTTACATCTGATTGGATCAAACCCTTGAGATTTGCCTGCAGGTGGGGCTGGGTGGGCCCTTGTACATGATGACTGACATTTCTTCACTTTGACCTGACGTCTACTGAAGAAATCTAGTATCTGAGGCCTATGGTGTTTGGTGGAGTTACAGCTGCAGATTTGCCCAGGGCCCCACTATTAAATGCTCCTCATTTTTTTTGTGTTTTCCCAGATTGACCCTGTCCTTGGCACTGTGGGTTTCGGGTCTGGCCTCCATGGTTGGGCTTTCACCCTGAAGCAGTTTGCAGAGATGTATGTGGCCAAGTTTGCAGCCAAGGGTGAGGGCCAGCTTGGGCCAGCTGAGCGGGCCAGGAAAGTGGAGGACATGATGAAGAAGCTGTGGGGTGACCGGTGAGCCTCACAGGGAGGGGAGGACAGGGCAGGGGGAATCTGTGACACTCCAGCAGCGTGATGTGTTCATGACACAGCTCAAGATCACCAGACACCTTGTGGAGTTCTGCCCATGCTCTATTTTTCATAGCTATGTGGGTTTCTTGCAGCCCCCTAAACTGGTTGGGATGGGCTTTTTCTCTACTAGGTACTTTGACCCAGCCAATGGCAAATTCAGCAAGTCAGCCACCAGCCCTGATGGGAAGAAGCTTCCCCGGACGTTCTGTCAGCTCATCTTAGATCCCATTTTCAAGGTGAGGATTAGAACCCAGTTGAGCCCCACAGCAGGTGCTCATGGTCAGGCATCTCTGTTAGTGGTAATAAAAACATCTTTTCAGAGGGGCACCTGTGGCTCAAAGGAGTAGGGCGCTGGTCCCATATGCTGGAGGTGGCAGGTTCAGACCCAGCCCCGGCCAAAAACTGCAAAAACAAAAAGAAAAAAACACATCTTTTCACCTAGCAGCTCCTAACAGGTCACCTGAGCCACTTTTTGTTAGCTCACAGTGCAGGGGCAGGAGATACAGAAGATGGGTGAGAAGGCATTTTTAGGACTTGCATAGTGGGGACCAGAGGGTTTCTCTAATAGATGGTGGTTAGGTGGAGGGCAGGTGGGAGCTTTAGCAGGAGTCTAAAATGTCGTAAATTAAAAATTTTTTACTTGCCTGTTAGGTGGCCTTCCCCCCCCCCCCCCAGTAATTTTCCATTAGGCTTTATCTGGATTTGATTAGTTGGGTCATGCCCTTGGTGGTAAGTGGGTCAGGCTTTATACAGTGTAGCTGCTGTTCCATGCCTGGTTTTAGGCTGAAAGCAGCAGGTTATCTAAACTCTTCCCGTGTGCACTTTCTTAGGTGTTTCATGCAATTATGAATTTCAAGAAAGAAGAGACAGCAAAACTGATTGAAAAGTTGGACATCAAGTTGGACAGTGAAGATAAGGACAAAGAAGGCAAACCTCTGCTGAAGGTGCGTGAGGAGGTTCTGGCCCCTATGGAGAGCTAGTTTTTAGTAGTCATTTCTGAACTAAGGTTGCCGTTTTTATGGGTGGTCAGACCCTGGTCTTTGGGTGCTGAGATCCCATCAGGGAGATGGCTGTCAGTCTCTTGTGACCTCTGGTTCTGGGCTCTTTTCCTTAAGGCATTGCGTCCGGCCTCCTCTGGGATGGTGTGTATGGGCAGGCGTGCACACAGCCTGGATCCCCTTCTATGAGGGGTACACTTTTTAGGGAGAACACAGTTTCTTACTGTTCACTTAATAGCTCCCTGAGAAAAGAAAGCTCATCCTGGGGTGCTTCCAACTCTTGTGCAAGCCCTTTTGTTTCTGTCCCACAGGCTGTAATGCGCCGCTGGCTACCTGCTGGGGATGCCCTATTGCAGATGATCACCATCCACCTGCCTTCCCCAGTGACGGCCCAGAAGTACCGCTGTGAGCTTCTGTATGAGGGGCCCCCAGACGACGAGGCTGCCATGGGTATGTGGATCATGGAAATGGCTGAGCTATGGCATGTATCTCTGGTCAGGATGCCTTCCAGGGAGGGACTCCAGAAGGATAGACTGCATAGCAATAAGGCTTTCCTATCTGGGTTTTATCTGTCTTTAGGCATTAAAAACTGTGACCCCAAAGGCCCCCTTATGATGTACATTTCCAAAATGGTGCCAACCTCCGACAAAGGTCGGTTTTATGCCTTCGGACGTGTCTTCTCGGGGCTGGTGTCTACCGGCCTGAAGGTCAGGATCATGGGGCCCAATTATACCCCCGGGAAGAAGGAGGACCTCTACCTGAAGCCCATCCAGAGGTAAGCACTTCGGCACTATCTGTGGTCGGTTGCTTCCCTGTTCAGTACGTGGCTCAGGAGGGTGTGGAGAGGGTTAGTGTTAAGCTATTTCCAGCTTATTTTGTCATCATGGCCCAGTGAGGATGAGTAAAGTCTCTGAGAAAGCTGATCAACTGTGTGTGTCGTGAAGCCCAGCTCAGAGTTGGATGTAAATGTCCTTGAGTTCCAGGCAATGGTCTTGTCCCATGTTCAGAGTGGGCAGTGAAGGTGATGTTTAATGGCATCCCCACTGCAGCAGCAATTGTGGGTTGGCACTTGTTCCAGCTCCTCAGGAGTCTGATGTGTGTCACGGGCAAGTTGGTGCGTAAGTTAGTTATCTGGGTTACGATTGGAATGCAGTCAGTTCTTAGCTCCAAAAAGGCCTTGGCTTGCTTCTTGGGATGTGACCTGGCTACCTGGCTTTTGGCCTACTGACCCCTACTCTCTACAGAACAATTCTGATGATGGGCCGCTACGTGGAGCCCATTGAGGACGTGCCTTGCGGGAACATCGTGGGCCTGGTGGGTGTTGACCAGTTCCTGGTGAAGACAGGCACCATCACCACCTTTGAGCATGCCCACAACATGAGGGTGATGAAGTTCAGTGTCAGCCCTGTTGTCAGGGTTGCTGTGGAAGCCAAGAACCCAGCTGACCTGCCTAAGCTGGTGGAGGGGCTAAAGCGCCTGGCCAAGTCGGACCCCATGGTGCAGGTAGGCATGGGAAAGCAGATGCCACCTGCAGAGGAAGGATTTGCTGTGGTCTGAGGTGTGGTTGCTATGGTTTGGAGATTTGAGATATTTGTGAAAGTAGGGATCTCTGGTTTGTGGTGGGCCTGCATCTTCCCAGGTAAAACTGCTGCCTTTCAGGTGGTAATTTCTTGCCTAGGTAACTGCTGCCTCCCTTTTTTAAGACTGCTTGGATTCTACATGTCTACTGTGGGTTGTGAATCTTAAATTTGTTCAAGGGTAGTGTGGGCAGGACCTGGTAGCAGGGCTTACAGGGCCTCTTGCTGCCTTTGGGTGTTGCAAATTTCTAGCACTGTCCCCTAAGTTGTTTTGGGGGCAGGTGAGCATCTTCTATCAACTGGAGGGTACATAAGGCTTGCTTTGTGCCCATCCTTTGAGTCCACAGTCCCCAGACTATCCCTGAGCCTACGCGTGATGCTAGGCCAACACTCAGGACTCAATCTTGGCCTTTTCAGTGCATCATTGAGGAGTCTGGGGAGCATATTATTGCAGGCGCCGGGGAGCTGCACCTGGAAATCTGCCTGAAGGATCTGGAGGAAGACCATGCCTGCATCCCCATCAAGGTGAACAAGGGTGCTATGTCCACACCCTTCACACCAGCCTCCCTAGGCCTTGCCATTGGGTGTTCTGCTTGTGAATTATGTGCATGCTAGCTTTCCCTTATTCTTTATTTGTAAGAAAATAGCAATATGCTCAATGGGCTCAGACCAGGCTTGCTTGCAAAGCTTTGTTATCTTCCAGTGGATGCTACTGTCTCTCCTGGATCCTGCAGGCAGTGGGTACAGACTTCAGGGTAGACCACGCCCCTGTACTTAACAAACATGGTTCTATTTATTCCAATTTAATACATCACTGCTGTGTTAACTGTCTGATTGGGAAAAGCTTTAGGAATTCTTCTGCAAAGATCACCTCTCCCTTCTGGGCTGTGACCTGTTTCTTCCTTTTGCAGAAATCTGACCCAGTTGTCTCATACCGTGAGACAGTTAGTGAGGAGTCCAGTGTGCTCTGCCTCTCTAAGTCCCCCAACAAGCACAACCGGCTGTACATGAAGGCTCGGCCCTTCCCTGATGGTCTGGCTGAGGACATCGACAAGGGCGAGGTGTCTGCCCGCCAGGAGCTGAAGCAGCGGGCCCGGTACCTGGCTGAGAAGTACGAGTGGGATGTGGCTGAGGCCCGCAAGATCTGGTGCTTTGGGCCTGATGGCACTGGCCCAAACATTCTCACTGACATCACCAAGGGTGTGCAGTACCTCAATGAAATCAAGGACAGCGTGGTGGCTGGCTTCCAGTGGGCCACCAAGGAGGTGGGGACATAGCTCTTGTGAGCCAAGTTGGTAGTTCAGTGGGATGCTGGGGTCAGGCCTAGGAGGCAAACACTTGTGTGAGAGTATGGGTACCTCATCTGTGGTCTGTGGCTCCTGGTGAGGATGAGGGCTGCTGAGGTAGGCAAGATAAGCGGTACCAGGTTTGCTTGGGGCCAAGACCTGGAGGGCTTGACAGGGGGAACTGATTGTGGCTCTGTCTGACCTCATAGGGAGCACTGTGTGAAGAGAACATGCGGGGTGTGCGCTTTGATGTTCATGATGTGACATTGCATGCGGATGCCATCCACCGTGGGGGTGGACAGATCATCCCCACAGCCCGGCGCTGCCTGTATGCCAGTGTGCTGACTGCTCAGCCCCGGCTCATGGAGCCCATCTACCTTGTGGAAATACAAGTGAGTAGCCCGCCCTCTGGCCCATGCCCTGTGAGATCGTATATGGTTGGTGTTTTGTCTGACGGCCCGAGTGGCTTGCTTTCCTTTTCATGGCAGTGTCCAGAACTAGTGGTCGGTGGCATATACGGTGTACTGAACAGGAAACGGGGCCATGTCTTCGAGGAGTCCCAAGTGGCTGGCACCCCCATGTTTATTGTTAAAGCCTACCTGCCCGTCAATGAGTCCTTTGGTAAGTGGCAGCTAAGTGCTTACAAAGCTCAGCAGGCTGTAGTCAGGCCAGGCCAGGAGGGACAGACGTCTAGCTTAATTTAGGCTTGGCAAGGCGTGTGGCCTGGGCTTCTTTGGGAGCAGTTGGTGTAGCCTGCTGCATTTTGCAATTGGGAGGCAATCCAGTCTTGAACCCTATTAGACCCCAAATCACTAAGCATAGGGGGAAAGGTTCTGCTACCCCAAAGTTCAGAAGGCTTTTGGGTGTGTAGTTTAGGGATATCTCAGGGATGGGGCTAAAAGAGTAGCTGGGCTTTAGCTCACCACCATAAAGGGCTATCTTAGTGCCTAGTTGTCTGAACTGAGGGGTAGTGTCCTAGTCATTTTCTCATACATGTGTGCCTGTGGGGCCAACAAGGTATCATAGGTTCCTGTAGGACCCACTGTTCCTGGGAAGACCAGTGAGTCTTGTCCCTGTTCTTTACCCCTACAGGCTTCACTGCTGACTTGAGGTCCAACACAGGTGGCCAGGCCTTCCCCCAGTGTGTGTTTGACCACTGGCAGATCCTGCCCGGAGACCCCTTTGACCACACCAGTCGCCCCAGCCAGGTTGTGGCAGAGACCCGCAAGCGCAAAGGCCTGAAGGAAGGCATCCCAGCCCTGGACAACTTCCTGGACAAATTGTAGATGGCCCCTGCCGCAGCACCCCCCACTTCGGTGGGAGGGGCTCAGCACCCACACCCAGTTTGACCACAGCAGCACGTCCTTACATTCTCAGACAACACCTCGAGACTGTCCCGACACGACACAGTGATGTTCTACCTGAGAGGTTCTGGGGCCATCGCTCAACGTTAACACTTGATGCCGTTTCTTTTGATATTTATTTCCAGATTGCGTGGGCAGCAGAAATGCCCTTTTTACAGGGACCGATTTGGCCGGTGGGGCAGTGGGAGGAGGGATGGGACATTCAACTTTTTCTTTCCATTTCTTCAGAGGGAAACTCAAGATGTCCAAAAAAAATTTTTAAATGAACGCATTAAGAGGTATATTTGGGCAAATGGTCCGTAGTGGTTTTTTCCCCCAGAAAGGAGGAAGGAACAGCGGGTAGGTAATTTCTAGAAGGCAGAGAGTCCTGTGTGGTGTGACCATGAGCAACTCCAGCTGTTAGTGCCATTGGAATAATAAATTTGATACGGTGGTGACTTCATTCTGCCTCATTCTTGTGGCATTTTTGCAGGGGAGCAGGGCTCCCACAACCCAGTATCAAGGCCACAGTGCTATTTTAGGACCAGAGGTCAATGTAGCCTAGAAGGGGTAATCGAGTGCCTGAGACCCAAGGGGCAGAGGCTGTCTCAGTAGTGGGTGCTGCCGAGTGGAATTCAGTGGGGTGGTGGAGGTGGGATTGCTGAGGACAAGAAGTAGGACAAGTGCAGCAAGGAACTGAAGTTTTTTTTTTTTTTTTTGTGCCCCTCCCTTCCCACCACCTGATATTT